TCGGTGAGCTCTTCGTTGTAGAGCGCTACCTGCACCGTCGGTCGAAAAACGCCGTGTTCTATCTACGTCGACGCCACTCAGCTCCAACTCGTTGCACCCGAGCTCCACTCGTTGGACCACATGGGAGTGGTGTGGGGTGGGAAACTTCCGCAAGTGAGCTCCACTTCCTGAGGTTTGAAGTGTTGTTCCACGAGACTGGACTTGTCTCTTGTTGTCCCGGGTCGAGAACACCGTGCACACACACACGAAGGCGTCTCCGTCCAAGGATCAACCTGGAGCAAGCATCCAGGTCGCGAATGGTCGCTGATGCGCTTGCCTTGTTCACAAAATTATCATAATTGACAACCACGTGGAACCACGGACCAAAGAAAGAAAACAACACGACATGATCTGAATTGGTTCTTACGAGTAGGAACCCGGCCACTACATGCCAACCACTCCATGCAACTTACAGAAAGCCATCCAACCCCCTCCCCCATGCCCGCACTCGGAGGCCACCGCAACCGTGCTTGCCTCGGCGAAGGCGCGGCACAAGCTCGCCAGCTCTGGTGGACGCAGCTCGTAGAGGTACCGTGGCAAAGCCTCAGCCACCTGTGGAGAGACCGTGTGGAGATAGATGGAGACAAACACTTTTGGGTAGTGCTGAAGGCAGTCCAGGCAGGGATTTGATGTTGATCCCAAAAATCGTGGATGAATCGTTGGTGTTCCTTTTCTTTTCAGTTCTCCCATGAATCCTCCTTTTAATGGAAGCCTCAGGCAATCTCAGGCATTTGCAGCCAGATTAAAGACATCTTGAGACATAGTCAGTGAAACTTAACACATTTATCGTTGTCGCCTTCGGTCGGGATTCGCACTGGTGGCCCTCAGGAAAGTTCTGATCGCTCGCGTCATGTCGAGCGACGAGCAACCCAACTCGCTTCGCACCCGTCGAGGTCCCGGCCAATGCGAAGAGCTCAGGGCTTTGCACCTCACCACTTCAACGAGTTTACCCCGTCGAGCTCAAAATGGCCTGTGATGTCTGGTAGAACTGGCACACGGACCACAACTGTAGAGGGGTTTGGCAACTGGCAACTGTTCCTTTATTCTCCAGCTAACCTTATACTATATAAGATGACGATGACGATCAGTGAGGTGGAAAAGCCACAAGGAAGACGCGACTGAGGACGGTACTGGCAACCGAGCCTCGGCATGGGATCCGCTCCGTTGGAGCGAAGCCAGCAAATATGCTGCCAAAACTATCTCTCCGGCTATCAAAGAAAGGGAAGAAGTAGAACAGCCAGAACAAAATCTGAGATAGGCCTGTTGTCTTAGTGATTTTTGTTGATCCTCTTTAACTGCTAAGGCCGTTCTCCTCATAATACCGATCAAGGGCCAGCAACCCTCCTCCAAATTTGGAGGATCATGCACTCCAAATAAAGCATGGATTTGGTCAATAGAGAATGTACCTGTACCATCGTGCACCCACCTCAAGGTTGAGCCTTTAAAAACATACCTATGCATAGCAGCATACCGCAGCATACCTATATAACTTGGGTCTCTTTCGTGGCCCCTCCTCCACCCTCTCCAGTCACGTCATCCCCTGTCCTTCAGCCCAGGACGCATAAGCGTCCGCCACGTGGACCAGTTCGCGTGGCCGGAAGTCCTGCAAGCGCTCCTCGATCAAGGGCACCATGGCCTCGATCAAGGGCACCGCTACGAGATCAGATGGGGGTGACCATGGTTGACCACAGAAAAAGCACAGCATGGACTGCCAGGGAAGTCAACCTACCAGGGTGCCATGGGCTCCAATGGTCCAGGTGGCATGACCCACACGGCGTCAACGGCTCGCGCTGCACGACGCCCAGACACAAGGGATGAGTTCGCATGTCTACCGAGGACGAACTGATGTCTACCCCCGCACAAATTCACTACACAGATTCCTCGCACCAACATGCACAGGTTTATGGAATTTGAATGGATTTAACTTCACCTATTGGAAGGCTGGACATCTCATTACATTCCATGTGCTTTCTTAAAAGTGTTCCGCACATCGTCTATCTCCAAGGTCCTGGCCTCCAGCAGCTCCCCATCGAAGCACTGTGCCTTCCCACAAGCCATCGCCATTCGCCGCAAATCACTGGCAGACACCGAGTTGACCGCCTGAGGAGTCGACTGAGGTAGAAGGTAGGCTAAACAGTGGAAGGATCCCGAAGTTGCTCGTGAGCAGTCCATAGCAGTCCGGACTCCATCTTCAGCTGAAAAATATCTGAAAGCATCGAGTTCCGTGGATTTCGTCTCATTGGATTGCCGAAAATGAAGCCAGCTCCGCTTCCGCTTGCGCGTGCTGCTTAGTCCCTCCGTGCTGCTCCGGCCTTTGGAGTGTCTTCGCCGGTCTGGTCTGACCTACAGTCAACGGTGCTGCTCGACAGACCGAAGCCGAAGGCACTCTTGGCGTGCGACACTCTTGGCAAGCAGTCCAGCGCCCTGGCCTCGTTCAAAACGGTTCCAACTGATGGCACAAGGAACCAATTGGAGGAAGCTGATTTCTCCTGCTATATGAAGAAACATGGGAATTCAAGGTGCAATCCGCGTTAAGCAATGAACATGCTGTGAACATGCTGGCCATTGACCTTCTGGTGCACGAGGGACTTGAAAGGCTGAGTGCATGACAGAGAGCTTGGCAAACAAGGGGAACTCCACCTGTCTCATTCGCAAGCGAGGTTGTATGCACCTGCACACTGAAGAAGTGCTGTCTTCTCATAGGTTATCAACCCTACATGAAGTTGTGTGCACTCCAAACAAGTTCAGGCGGCACACCCTCCCGGCACGAAGCTGGAAGTAGAAAACTCACTGTCTCATGCTGTTTCTAGAGGACAACTCATGCTCTTTCCAGCTTCCCTTTTCCACTTCCATGATTGGAGATGCTGGATTCGGATGGATGGTAAGCACCTGTGATTCCGACGACCCTCCCACGGGCGGCATGCGTTTCACGCAGCCCGAAACACCTTATGCTGAGTTTGGCACATATCTGGCGGTGGAAAAGGCCGAAGCGAATCGCGCAGCCTCGAAGAAAGGGCTTTCAGAAACATGAGCGTGAGAGGAACATCTTACGAGGTGGGCATGGCTAAAGCTCGAAGTTCGCTGTCAACTACCTGTAGCGAAGTTCTGCACCTGCAGGAGAGTGGAAGATTTATGCCTCTTGGTGACGTGAACTCGTTAGAGATGTTGTTGGGTGAGCTTGTCACAGGCTATATAATTACCAACTGATCAAAACCAACCACACTGACACCAACCCGCACACACACAACACAAGAAAGGATCAAAGGGGGGCCATCTCACACTTCAAGCAATCATTGATGAAACCTTTAAACGTGGGCTGAAATGGTGAGCATCTCCAAGGGCCCTCATAGCCAATGACCTTAACAAAACCTTGAGACTTTCTCAAGTTCAGTCTCTTGTGGTCAATGACCTTGGAATACCTTGCAATATCCTGGAATACCTTTCTTTTCTTTCGATACAATAGAAACATCCCATCTCCGCCTTCCAGATTCTTCAGACAGCCCGTCTCCGCCTTCCGACCGTCCGCGTGGACGCCTCCTGAAAGCTCAGTTCGCCCACCAGCTCCGAGGCCCTCAGCCCGTAGCGCTTCCACCGCTCCTGCGACGGACGCGTCACGCGACGCGTCACGCGACACGTGGTTTCACCCGGTCCGGACGTGTCAAAGATCGGGTTCGCTGTTCTGTTCGAGATGGAAGATGGAACTCCACAAGTCCTCACTTGGATATTGGTGTGGGATGAGGTCACTGTGTCACAGGCATGACGTCCTCCCGCGCCTCGTCCAGGTCGCCTTCGGCCAGGGAGATCTTGGCGGCCTTGCCCAGCTCGGCAACACCCAAACGCTCGATCTCCTGCAGAGTTGGTTGGATTCCACTTGCGGTGGCTCGATGCAAACTCTGGCGTGGAGATGCCGCCAGAATCGTGGATTGGCAGCTCACATTCATTTTATCTAACATGTAAAGGCCATTTAAAGCGAGTGGAGACGTCCCCTGCAGCTTTCCCAGTTTCAGTTCTCATTTCACTTTCAATACCCTGGACGACCCCGATCGATGTCCATCCTGCAGCCCCACCAGTCTGGGCCCAGCAAAGCGCAGCGACACATGCATCGCATGCTGTGAATACTGCTGTGAATCGACACCCTACATCAATCGGCTTCTGTGGCAAGGAGTGAACCTGTTTGAAGCTGCATGTTTTGAGTGGTGCTGAAGGACTTGCTGTTTTGCTGTTTAAGCAAGAGTGAAAGGGCCCCTAATCTCTGTTGAAGACATGGTTCGACAAAATCGAATGTTTTAAACAAAAGTGATTGAAATACAATCACATTTGGTCCTACCTGTGCTCTTCATGCTGAACCCATGTTGGGCTGCTTATCACGCCACTCGACGGTTCCGCGTCTGCGTGTTAAGGGAGGACATGGCTGGGCCATGGGCCGAGGTCCTCTGGTCTTCATGTTGTGCATGGTTGCGATTTGTGACTTGCAAGAGGTGCATTGCTGCAATGCGTGGAGCATCATGGAATCATGGAATGGTTCGTTCGATGTCCCTGATGACATGGTCTCTGGTTGTTTATGGTTTCTCTCGTCGTGTTGTCTCATGTTTTCTCTTATGTCTATCAACCGCAAGTGAATTCCTTGAAGCTAAGTCATCGGTGCAAAAAGCCTTCGTTTGGGTCCGTGCTTCTGTTGGAACCATTGGTATGACAGCTTAGTCAATGTGTCTATGAGCTGGGTATGTGACACATACCTCATCTACGTATGTTGGAGGCATTGTTGGAACAAGGCTGGTGACCCACATACTGCGATACTATTGCTGGTTTTGATTAGGTGTTGGTTCAGCATGGACACGGAAACCAATTGCGGCTTCTGACATGGTATGATCTTGCCCATGCACATGCTTTTGTCCATAGAAGGCGCCACAGGAAAACACACAAAACGCCCATCGATTCGCTTCCAAAACGCCCTGCCCGGCCTCCATTAACAACACTGCCACCTGAGTGGCGATCGTTCGTCGAGCGAAATGAACGCGAGTGAAGGTGATCGGTCCAAACCCCGCCCCCCGCAGATTGACATAGGCCATTGTGCTTCCTCGTCGCCATTGTCATTTCATCTCACACTTAAAGCAAGTATCTAGTAAAGCACGGAAGTTTTCATGGATGCGGATCACATGAGGAGGCATCTGGAGACAAGTAGTTCGGCTAAGGGTGTAGTATGCCGGAACAAGTGTGCTCATGGCACCCGGTGCAAAAAGGACGAGAAGATCGTTCGACCGACCTCGACCGATGCCTCAGAGGTCTTGTGAACATCTGTGGCTTCATCCAGCTCTTGGAGGTGCATGGCATCCCATCGATCCTGTCGGCCGGAGGAGGGTCCAGTGGGTCTTGTTTCTTTTCGTTTGTTTATTCGGAACAGCCTGAAAGACATGAAGCATCATGAAGCCATTCTTGTATATAGAAGTTTGGTGAGTGGGATGGAAGATGATAGAGCTGGTGGAAGCGGACTCGTAGTATTCATACATATTCATACTCGCTGCAATCCCCACTCTGCCACTCTCCCAATGTTCTCCAGATCACGTAATTCTCCAAGTCTCCCCTCTCGTCTGGGTGGTTTCGCACGGATCCGCACCCACCTTGCCGAGGGTCAGCTTGTTATTCAGCTCAATCTCCAAAGTGTGATGAGCTCCCATTTTCACCCACTGATTCTCCTCGCAATCGACCAATCGACGAAACATCATGGACCTGTGCTGTGATGAGTGACCTCAGAAGAGCAGAACCCAGAACCAGCCAGAACCCAAAAGAAATCGCAGATAATATTACTCTATATTATGCTGAAAGGGCTTAGGAAACCTCCTGGGTTGGTAGTCAATCCAATGATTGATCAAGATTTGCACAAGAATCTTGCATCTCCTGGTCATGGTTGTTCCCCTTCAGTCTGACTGGTATTCAACATCCGAGGTATATATATATATATCCCTCCAAGTTTCTCTTTCTCGGCAATGCTGCTCATGTTGCATCTCGCACATGCTGGTTGGAGTTCCTCACATCACCAATCACCACCATACACCTTGGAAAATACCTTCTGCCCTTTCTTCCGCTCTCTTTTTGCGACTGCGACTGGCTCATCTGCCTCAGCTCACCCAGCAAAGCTGCTTCAACCTCCTCCGCCAGCCGGTTCAGCTGAGCGCCGCTCAGGGCACCAGACCCCAGCAGCACCGGGCTCTCTGGGAGGAAGAACTTCCGTTTAAACACGGCGGAGATCTCCAGCGCGTGGCGCCACTGGAAAGCGCAGGCGAAGATCACCTGCGCTGGGACACCGTCTAGGGATATGAGCTCATATGTGATCACATGCGGAAGTGAGACTGGGATGTGAGGAAGAAACTGCGGATGAATTGCATTGGTTCTTGATGTACACTTGCAAGCACTTATAGGCTGTAGAATCGTCCATTGTTCTGAATCGGCTGTGCAAAAGAGGTGCTCGATGAAAGATGAAACCAATCGTCAGTAGAAACTATAGAAACAAAAGAATAAGAGGAGAGAACTCACACCTTACCACCATCACCATCAGCCTTTGTCAGCCTTACATACCGTTTCTTACTGTTTCTGAAAGGGAACGTCACGGTCCTCACTTCCGCCACGGCACGGTGTCTCGAGAAATCTCGTCGGTCTCCTCGCCTGGGGGGTCGGGCGTGGTCGGGGTGGTCGGGGTCACCGAGTCGTCCAAGCGGATGGCGACAAGTCCGACCAAAGTCCTTTTGTTCCTAGCTTCTTGTTACTATAGTAGCTTCAAAGACATACTAGTAGCTTCTTGCTCCTGGTCATGTGAGGACGACGACACCTAATTAGCTGAGGATGACTTGTGGCGATCCCTGAAGTGTTTAGTGCGGTCCATCGAATGTCTGACTGTCAGTCATGTGATGGCCAAAAAGATCAAAAAAGAAATCACTCGGAGTGACCCGCAGCCTGCTTTGGAGGTGTTTGTTCTGTTCTTTCCGTGACGTGTTTCTGCTGCAAAAAATGCCCAAGCCCTTGGTTTGCCCGCTGTTTTCGCTGTTTTGGGGGGACTGGGGATGGACTGCGACGGACTGGGGACACATCCCCCCAGTCCAACCCCAGCCTTCGGTTCTTTGTGACTGAACAACCATGGCACACTCGCCCCGTCGCTAGGACTTGTTGGACAAGCTGCCCATCTCTTCCAGTAGAAAGCAGGGCAGTTTCCAATAGCTGGCCTTCTTGCTCAAAGCGCGATGGTGTCAACATGCTTCAATTGCATCAATGGAATCAACAAGCATCTATCATCTACTGTAACTCCCCTCTCCGCATGATGTCCAAAGGCTAAATAATTAGTCCTTCACCACATGCACTGCAGTCCCCGGTGATCCCCAAAAACATGTTTGGCACACAAGAAGTGCCTTCTGCGTGGCTGATAGGGCCACGTTGTAGCTGATGACATCAGGGGAGGTTCCATCCAAGAAGAAGACGCAGAACTGCCACTGGCTGCCTGCCGAGAGATGATTGTTGCAGCTATAGGCCCTTTGTTCGGCCCTGCTTGTTGCAAATGTCACATTCGGCCAGAGGCTAACCGTTTTTTTAAGTTTAGGACAACAGGGTTGGATAATCTGATCTCAGTATCAGGTTCTGGGAAAATATCATGATCTGATATTATCTATACCAAACAATCATTATGATGTCTGATTATCTGAAAATAAACTGATTATCTGATTATCTATGCCAGCGATCCACTGCCTCAAAGATGTCCTCCGTGCCCCGATGATTCATCCCCGCCGGAACCCGGCTCGGCGCCGGCCTCGTTCACAGGCGCTGCTGGCGGCGTTGCGGGCGATGTCACTGGCGAAACGAGACTGGGAGGCCTCCTGCAGTCGACGACCAAAGTGCGAAAAGATGGTGGTTTTACAGTGCTTCACTTGTATTTTCCCTACTTGGCTGGGTGTTTAGCAGGGTCCAGTTTGGGTCAACATAGGCTTTTGGGTCATTTGATGTTATTTGATTATTGTTTGGGTCTAAATCCCACACATGGATCTTGGACGAGCTCCCCAGGAGAGAAGGGGCTCCGGGAACTCAGTTTGGTTGTCTGAAGCCACAGCTCGCGGCGAGCACCTTTCACACCTTCTGTAGTGCATTTCAGCTACTGGTCTCCAAGCTCATGGCCCTGAGAGGCACACAAGTTCATACAACATGTAACATCATCGTTGATAACTGCATGGCTGATGCCTTTCTTTCCAGAACCAATCACTTGCAGTCAGCGCTATGTCAAGTCATCATGTTCAAGCAACAGTGGCTTTTAGGAGCCATTCCCTCTTGGCCTCTTTTTGCCTCACATTCCCACCACTGGTGGAATCACTGATCAGTCCTGCAGCAGCTCCAAGGCTGCCAGCCACTGAGCGCCCTTGGCACAGGCGCTGATGGCCGCACCAAAGCCTGATGCGGTGTGCCGAACCCACCTGCGCGGAGGTGTCATGAATTCTGAACTACAACAGGTGAATGGAGCGCAAGAGAGTATAGCCTCTCCTGTCCCAAGCGCAACTCCACAGAATTGGGGGTTGTATGCCCTAAGAACAACTAGGGGAACTAGGGCACCATGAGAGCAAACTCACCCTATCTAAAAGCATCAGCTGAAAGCTCTGCATGAGCGACGAATCGAGTCAAGTTCTGAACGTCAGCGAATGTTCAATCCATCCAAAATCCACCGAAGAGCCCCACCGAAACAGGGTGAATTTCAGACCTTGCACCCCGACAGGACCCAGGAATGGCTGCTTCGCACATCTCTATCAGTCAAGTAGCTCACTTCATCGAAATCCTCTACGCTCATGGAGCCTGCATGGACAAGGTAAGACGGTAAGAAGAGGCGGAGTGTGACAGTTTTGATCAAAGAACTGTGCTCTACCAAGATTGAAGTTACCAAAACTTCCTCAGAACACCACCAATCTGTGGATGGGGCCTAGGAGTGCTAAAGCCACTTGCCAGTCGCTGGCTGCTTCGCAGGAGTTCAAGCACGAACTGAGCATGGCTTGGTCGTCGCTCGAGGACCTGCACGTCTCGATCGGTCGATCCCGTCGCGGTCGAGATCCGGTTCCCGCATGGCGCATGGCTTGTTGCCAATAGAACCCTAGATGGAATGTTGCCTCAGGCTTGTCTCGGGTGATGAAAGGCTTGTTGCCTCGGAGTCTGGACGAAAAACACATCGGTCTTCCGAACCGTCGACCCTCCGGTGATCGCACGACCGGTCGAAGACCTGACTCACTCGACGTCTCCGAAGACGCCCCCGTCGCGACGCCTCGATAGGACTTCCAGGGATGACAGCTGTTGTTCCCAGGGCGAACCACGCGTTGCGAGGCTCGCTGCAGCCTGGAGACATAGGGAGAAATCAAGGAAGAGTGGAGAAGGAAAGAACGCAGTCAGTGAATCTGAACCCAAGAGAAAAGCCTGATTTTTTCCATCAGCAAACGCAACAGAAAGTCTCACAAATTCAGTGCTTCAAAAGATTCTTCGGATCCGGGACATCACCAAACGGTGGACGTAACGACCAAAACAAAAGATCACAAGATGAGGCCTCTATCGACGAACGAAAACGGAAAAACACCACCGATGATCGGGCCTGATCGGATAGTGGGTAAACTTATATATATATATACCTGTCAGGCTCCAGGTGGGTCACGACCCGTTTCTTCACAAGACCCACGACGAAATGCATCTGGAAATCTGTCAACACCGGTGCTGTTCATCACCAGTAACAAGTGCATCGCTACTAGTGGCAAGAAGCTACTAGTCGATACTAGTAGTAACTGTTCATCCTGTCTCTTCAACATTCCAACTTCCAATTCGGTCACACGCATTGTGAGGTTTCAAGCCTAGGAGATTTCCCCGTCGAAACCTGAGGCATCTGGCTGCCAGTTGGTGATTAAAGGACGAAAGGACAAGCTTGGTCCCCCACTTCAGCAATCAACTCCAAGGCTCCTGAAATAGGTCTATCATTCATGATGGTCTAGGGACATTCCATGATCATCCAACGTCCCATCAAGAAGTACACACTTAGCAGGCCAAAATTCCCCACTTGATTGCACTATAGTCACTAAACACGGAAAACACTTGTAACATGGTGCAACTGGATTCTTTCATTCACAGCCTTCGCCATCCGGAAAGGCGAACCAAAACTGGACCCTCCCCTTCCGTCCCTGGAGATCCCAAAGGATCCGGCTGGGGCCCGTCCAGCCAGGACACGCAAAACAAGATGGTCCAGGTACTTTCAGGAATGCTCTCAACCGATCTGTGAAAAAACATCGCTGGACTCTCAAGTCTGGATCGCCTGGACTTCCAAGCCTTGCCACCGGTGATGCTCCCACAGACTCACCACTGACCTCCAAGGTGTCCGAGCATTCAGGAGACCTCAATCCATTCATCCAAGATGAACATGGATGGTCAAGAGTCAAGAGAAACGATGCCTATAATATGTTCATAAGATCTGAGATTAGTTTCCCGCACCAAGTTACTACAAGCTTGGTTCAGGCAAAAACCCAAGAGGACCTAGACAAAGATATTCTCAACCTGTCCAATTGTGCACGATTTTCTGCCCAGAACCCATCTGAGCCTGTCTTGGTCAATGGTTTGAATAGCTGCACTCCAAAACAGGTGTATCCTCCACCAACAATCTTCACTTACAAATTGCAACCTGCAATCCAAGTGTCTCAGTTGCATTGCCGTCTGCCATCTCTCTGCGGATCCCACTGCTGCCAGCAGCGTGTTTCGGCTCACCTCATCCGGTTCCAAGCCCTTCATGACGAGCCCGTTGATCTGGCCGGGCATGAAGCTCAACAAATCCCTGCGGGGGTTCCAGACTGGTCCCTGTCTCTGGTGATGGTCATCGGCTTCAATTAGCCCTCCGGTATTCTTGGGTGCTGAAAGGAACTGTAAGATCTGTAAGTCACTGGTGGAACCAGGACCACGGTTTGGGATTTGGGAGATGGATTCCGTTATAAGGAAGATATCCAGAATCCTTCACACTCTGACATCTGTTCAATCACCATAAGCATAAAGAAATCCTACCTGCAGCTCTGGCAGCCATTCCCAGATGAAGGATTGATATATAAATGGTGATGGATGCGTCTTAAATGCATTTAACTGCATCATGTATAATTAATAATATCAGAATGCTGATATATCCCCACTGGCGAACCAGTTCGCCCACCTCTGCCACAGCCATTCTCCACTCACCCCGCACCGCCCGCAGCACTGCATTGCACAGGCTCAGGGCGCCATGGTGTCCATCGCTTTGAGCAGCGAAGGCGAGTGCCATTTGCCAATGGAGCTGCTCCGCCAGAGGAGCCAAGGCAGAGCTGTGGTTGATGACATCTGCCTCGTGGATGAGCTTGGATGGTCATTCACATGAGGGCTGGTTGCCGTTGGTTCAGAAGGGAAAAAGGAAGGATTCCAACCCTGACCATCCCCAAGAATCTCTCACATGGACATTGGACCTGCACATTCTCCTCTACAAAGAGGTCTTCTTGCATGTCTAAGGTGATGACCAAATGGATCCAAAAGGGTAGGACCTCAAACTCAAACTCAGTTTTGCGGTAATACACGCCAACCCTTCCATTTTGTGGTAGGCATGCCTATCTGTGCCACAGGTTTGTTTGACGGTTGGTCCAACGTCTTTACCACCATTCATGTACTCAAGGTTTGGGTCTGTCTAGATCTGAGGCTGTGAGTCAAAATAAACCTCTTCATGGTTCTACTATGTTCTACTAATCAAACGTCTCACCTCTCTGGCCTCCAAATCTCGTTGCCGCATCAAGTCCAGCAACCCCATGGACCGCTGCCAGATGTCCTCGGACTCGCCGGTCACCGCGAAGCTGCTGAAGATCTTCCGGTCCGGTTCTATCGCGGAGGCCTTGGACCAGCCGAAGCACCGGGATCGCGGGTCCGGCGAAACGGGCCGTTCGATGGATTTGAATTTCACACACTCCAAGCCCCGCCTCCCATCATTGAATGGGACCTCTTCCCATCACATGTTGACTCTGAAATGTTTGAACCTTTCCAGATTGTCAAACTCGATTGTACATCCTCAAACTATTTGGTGCCCCTCACCTCCATCGTCTCCAGCATTAGCGCCGACTGCTTCCAGCCCACGTCTGCAATCGCAGGCCCGAAGCTGATTACATCTGCCCTGCGAGTCCCCAAACGTTGCATCGCCACCGCGCATCCCCGCGCTCGCACGAAGAGACCCAGATTATGAGGGTTGTGAGGCCTCTGGGGAGTAAAAGCCTCGAGACCATGGGGTGTTTGTTGTGATTTGCTAATGGGCCTGTGGATTCGCTAATTGGAGGGTGGCTGTGACCGTCACCGCATTGATCACAAGCAGTGCTGGTGGAGCACTGATTTACCCCCGGCCCTCTCGATTGAGTCGCACTTGATGCAGTTCTTTATTGGTGGACCCCGGTGACCCCGGTCGCACTCCCAGGCTCTTACCATGGTTTGTGGAAGTCACATCACAAGGCTCATCAAACATCAAACATGTTAGCTTGACCTGACAGGTTGTTGGCATACTTTTGGCCTCGGCCTGCCTCAGTTTCGAGTAAAGAACGGAATCTCCCCTAAAAATGCACAATCACTGACTGTATGAATAACATCTTAGAATCTTATACTGTACCCCTCAGTGGTATAGTACCCCTTACAACTTGTTCACATTCCCTCTCTCGCATCCCTCATCCCAACACATCCCAACACCCCTCCCCCAAATTCGCCCCCGCTCTCCTCAACTCCAACTGTGGCAGTTGCCAAAGCAAGTGCTTAGCCGCCTCCCATTGACCCGCCAGGTTCAAAGCATGGAGCCCACAGTTGCTCAAAGCCAAATCAGGCCTCGTCAACTCACGCTATTTCGCGAATCGCGCGCTGGCTTGCTTGGAAGATCCAAAGCGTAAGTCACATGAATTTGGTCCCGCGATATTGGAATTGATCGACTTTATCATACTCTATCCAAAACATAATGGATTTATATGGATTTGGGCACTGTATGGCACTGTGAAGAATCATCGAAGTGACCTTGGGTGTCAAGGACCCCAAGGTGTCAACGACCAAGGTGGGTATGCAGTTTTGGGGAGACATATGGCAAAATTAGGGCTCACGATGCGCCGCTTTTGGGTGTTCGCATCATTGGCGCAGCTGAACCCAGCAGGGCATGAACATAAGTTCAGAAGTCGTTGCCATGTCCGGAGGCGGCAGCTAGCTTATCTTCCTCTCTGTTAATTCACATGAGTTCAAGGCGGAGCAGCCCAATCTGGCCAACGCCCGGCCCGACGACATCCGGCCTCAAGAACAACTTACAATTATGGAAGATCTGCAGCGCTGCGTGCCAATTCATCTCCTACAGCTGGAAATCTTTGGACAGTCCCAAAAGTGAAGAAAAGTGCAAGCAAGTATACTGACGTTGCCACTTTACCTTTCCAACCTGTTTGACACCTGCTTTGTGTTCCAACAATTCCGCTTGGACATGCGAGGACCAACTTGTGTCGTCCCTCCACAAAAACGAGATTCCATCTGCAGGATGCTCCATCAACAGCTCCAAAACGAGAGCCGTTGACGGTCAACGGAGCCGAAGCGACGCCCAACGTCGCTTGGACCCATCTTTTGCTCCCTCTTCTGCTCCTTTAAGCACGCAGTCATCACAGAGCTGTAGGTGAAGACATCCGGCTTCCTGAGCGAGAACGTGGACCATGTTTGGACTGGTTTGGATGAAACGCCTGGCTTTAACGCACATTCCTTGGTCATCTGTCCAACTGTAGTTCTATAGTCTATATGTTTTGATCTTTATATAGTTATGTTTAAGAAATCATGTCTATAAACAATTGCAGGAGGTTGACAAACAAGACACTTGATGGGTGAAATGTATCACTTCACATCTTGGACTACGTAAAAAAGAGTGGAACGAGTGACCTCCAACTTGTGGAACCGGCATCACATCCCAAGAGAGACACCTCCATGACGCATGATTAAATGCCCAAGATTTACAGTCTGCCATTGTCCCCTTATGGGTTGCAAAACCATCCGCAATGGAGAAATCACAGGAATGACTCAATGACTTACATAATCTTTGGTATGGCGGATAGGTACCCTTCTTCCAATAAACAAACAAGTCTAAGTGGGAACTTCGCTGTTGATCCTCAAGGAACATCGTTCAAAAGGTTTCAAAAGGCCCCCATAAGGCGATATAAGGCACTCTCCCACAATTTCTGAGAACGAGAAAGTCATGGTCGGTTTGACTTCTCCCACCCCACCATACCGAATCTTAGAACCCCACAGTCGCATCTGGAGCATCTGCTCCAGGAAGTTCAGCGCTTGTAGCCAGGCTCCGGAGCAACACGCCTTGATGGCCGTGTTGCAGTGGATCACGTTCAGCTCCTTGGTGAGAGATGTGCAGGTCGAACGTCAATCTGTGGAAATTGGGAAACTTAGGGGATGGGATTCTGCGGGGAAGATTCGTGGCAGGTGTGCAGACAACTGTTAATATGTTGCTGGCTTCGAATTTGGATATCTTGATCGTACCAGTAGAAATGAAAACGTGAATTGTTTTGATGTATTTTATACGATCTGTCATGCAGTTCAACCTTCTTGATCCAAACAGATCTTCCTCATGTTCTCTTGTTTCTGATTCTTCAGCCGGAGACTCCACGCGTTTCTGCTGCATCAAGCTTAAGACATGGCCCAGCACCTCCACGTTCGCCCCGGATCCCAGCCGCTTCAGCACGGCGGTCGCGAAGCCCGGATGTCTTCGCCTCGACCGGCGAACACCGTTGAAACGACGAGGGAAGAGGATCTCACCACCTGCTGAGCGGCAAATTACAAAGAATGTCCAACCTACTTGGCAGTATCAGCTGAGAGTCTTTTCCATCTTTTTCCATGTGTTTCCTGTTGCTGACCTCCCACTGCCCCAACTCAGGCCCCATTTCATCGATGTTTCTGTTCCAACCCAACTGCCACGTCACCAGGACTTGATCTCCTCCTCCAAAGCCTCCGCCACCTCGGCCGCCCCGGAGCCGCTGTGCAGCCGCTGTGCCGCCTGCGCCGCCATGAAGCCGTCATGGCGGGTCGAGGCGCAGGTCTCGACCGGCACGGTGCGAAGGCCACCGTGCCGATGAGACCGAGAACAAAAGGATCGAGTTAAGGGAGACGTGGAGACTGTGGAGACGTGAAGTTGGGGACCAGACTGTTAGAGATTCACCTATCGTGCAGTCTAGCTAGACTGTGGTGTCACTTGCGTGATCCTGCGACTGAAGCTTGCGATGACTGTTTGCAAGTAAAGAAGCACAGAATAGGAGCCAAACTCTGCAAGCAAGCACTTTTGGTTATCCACCTGCACGATCACACAAGGTGGTTGAGATGCAAACAGAATGATACGTAGTTTGGTCCTCTCTGACGATAGTGAGCGCCAACAACGATGCAGCAGCCGTTCATTCCCAGTTGCTCCTCACAATTCTTCCCCGAGTATCGAATGCAGTTCCCGGCCGCATCGTACTCGATTGACTTGACCTGAAGCTTTAGGCCATGTCACGATCGAATCCAGGTCAATGTCCACACAAAACTGGCGGGTCATGGCACAACCATGCAAAACCTGAAACTGAGCATGCCAAATCTCATTTCCTGGCCTCGCCCACTCGCATCTCTCCAAATAAGGTTCAACCGCCCCATACCGCCCGGTCGGTCTATCGCGGTCGTCCTCGCGTCCTCTCGGTGTCGGACCGAAGCGTTGGTTCAGTGGAAACACCACGCATGAGGGGTGAGGAAAGGGGATTCACCAGTTCGCAGCGGCGAGAAACCAGGGAAGCGGAAGGTTTCGCCGAAGACCATGCGAACGATCAAAAGCGTCATGTAAATTCATGTAATATCGATTCGATCGTCGGAAGCCAAGCTCTGAAGCAAAACCGGCGACCAGCAACCTGGTTAGCTGAAGCAAAATGGTCGAAAGCTGAGATCCCATCCTCCACGGTCATCTGGATCCTCGGGTGATCCGGTCGGCAGGTACCCAGTGGTCAGTCATCGATGAAACCGGATATGAATTATATGAACCTGGCCCCCAATATGCATCGTCCAGCTACCCGGTCGGTCTACAAGCACAATGAGCTATTCACAATGTAATTGCTATAGGGGACAGCCTCAGGAAACTAACAGAATAGACCATTGGTTCCACATCTTTTCTCTTCCCCCAAGGCACGCCACCAAGCTAAATGAATAGATTCATAATCACTAGGCCTTTCCCCACTTAGAGTATGTTGCACAATGTTGCACATCTCTGTTGAGTACCAATAACGATCAGTGTCGCCGATGGCTTAAAGACGCCTGAACAATACCCCTGCACCTGCTGTCACAGCCTGATTCACCTTAAGGAGAGCAACAAATTGCCTAGAGTGGCTAGAGTAGTAGCTACAGGTAGCTACAGCAGAGGAACCTGATTTGCTTTCAGGTGAAAGAATTTTACATGTGCTCTTTGCCAAGAGCTGTAGGCTGCAGCCAAGCCACTTTTTGACCTCCGTCTGAACTGTCCCAGTGCTGCCCTCCTTCTGTATCTGGGCCAGGCAACTCTAGATCCAGAGGAGAGTGCTCAATGTTCCATCTCCCCAAAAGCTACAAGCTACAAATCCCCCAATGTCTGGCCGTGGGGGCGCGACATGGCACGTGCAAAAACCCTGTCTGCAGTCTGCCAATGTATGGACCATGTGCACAGCAAAATGCAATCCCTTCTGACTCCTTTGACCCTGTTTTTGGAGCTTGTAACTCGGGCCGACGCCTTTCGATATGTCATTGCCTTGATGGTGTCACCTTTCCTGGCCGACACGAAAACCGTAGATCCGATACGATGGTCTCCGACCAGCCGGGGAGAGGTGCTGGGGTCGGTACGCTCGTCTTTGCGTGGCCCACATGGCGGCGAAACGGGAACTGACCGGGAACCGGGAACGGGCGACGTCCGACGTCGATGGATACGAGTGATTCAACGCTGTGAAGTCGAACAGTTGCAGCCTTCGACCAAGCCCCGGACATGCTGAGGTTGTAGAGATGCCAAAGATCTTCAGACTCCTTGCAAAGAAAGCATCGCTATGGCCGATCCGCCAGGCGGCCCTTTCCAGTACTCTGGTGTACTCTGCACGTTCTGTGGCAGACCTATGAATTGTGTTACTGGTGACCAGGACTCACAGCCTGCTTCTCTGTATACACAGATCAGGATGATCTAGACTGTACTGTTTGCAGCAAGAATAATGTGGTCAACACACATCCATCCCTCATGTAAGTCAAGGAACAAATCCAATTATAAGCTCCCAGCCAACCATCCCAGCTTCTTCAAAGTGACCTTCACCTTCACTTTTTTCGGGTCCCAGGTACTATTTGTAACCTTTTCCTTCCAGGCCTAGCTTGGTGGGACCGAACCAGGTCCCAGGGTTCTCCTCAGGGATCAGAGTCGCTTGGCCCTTGCCATCCTGGCGAACCAGACGGCCCAGCGGGGTGACAGAGGTGAGATAATCAGTATGACCGAGGGGGTTTTCCCTTGAGGCTATGGACATTTTCAGGTAGGAAACTATGGACGACCTTCTGAAGAAATCTACGGAAACTCATCCAGCCTAACCTAGACCTAAGCCAGCCTTGCCATCGCCTCGATCCAAGTTGTGATTTCAGTGCCATGGATACGTGGCACATTAGTCACAAAGGGTAGCGACCATCCAAAGAGGCAGGGTTGGCCTGATCATGTAAAGACATTGTGACATAATAGGTATTAAGAAACCGCCACATCTGTTTGCTCCGCCTCGTTCAGGCTAACCGCCTTTCAAAAACACTAGTATGTTTGAAGACTTTGTGCGATAACCCTCTCCAGTTAGTTTGGTCTACCTTTCTTGGGGCCACCTGTTTTGCAACTAAGCCAGAAACCTTTTTCGTTCGGAACACTGGACGGTTGTTGGTCTGATTCCCAAAACAGGTCAACCAGCAGAGTGGACCCAGCACTTGCGTTCCATTCGTCCATCCGCCCAGCACTCACGTCAGTGCACCTTTTTGGATATCGAAAGCTAATCGAAGCACAGCAGATCTGCGTGAGTGCAGCAGATCTGGGAGCATCAGCATTCTTCAATTCAAGCCATCCATTGGAAGTCGGCTGTTCGGCTGAGTTCACTGGTGAGTGCTTCTTGGTGCATTTCCGACCCAAAAACACTTTTGGGTCTCTCCTTATTAAGGGCTGGTTGTGGGAATGACCCTCTAAGATCAACCAAACTGGAGACACCCACCACCACTCGCTTGTCATCGAAGGTTTTCTCAACAAGTTCTCAGGACTCCGGGGTCCTCATGAACACGGTACACTTCAATCACCTAAAGTTGACAGTTGATTGGATCGGTACCCCCAAAAGAGATCGACAATTGAATCCCCTTTATTAGAAGATATTAGAATAGTTTTTCAACCGTATCATTTTCTATCTGTCTTCTAGCAAACAACGCTTGCACACCCACATCTGTTAGGTCTCTGCAGATTTCGCAAAGACCTCTTCGATGCGTTCCAGCGTCGGCTCTTCTAAGCTCCGAGCCACCTGGCAAAAACGCGGCCGGCGGTGACCCAACAACAAGCAGCAGCGGGGGGGAGGACGACTCATGGATGTGCTTTATTAAGCTCTAGGAGCCGGAAACAATAAATAGAGCCTCTTCCCCAGGCTTGGGGGATTCAGCTATAAATAAATATTAGGAAAAGAAGCCACACCCGATCTGCAAAAACCAGATGTTCGGAAGTGTCAAGCCCGAGACCCCAAAAAGCAAGCACTCAAAGACTCGGGACCTCGTCATGTTTCTTTGTGCTGCGACGTGGTGCCTCCATGGCGTTAAGCATGTTAAACACGAAGGGCTTTCTAAAACAGTGTCCCTTGCACTGGCCCCCATGGCTTCCAGTGGGGCCTTTGACACACGTACAAGTAGAGACTCACAGAACAGTCAAAAAAAGTAGCCCTGCAAGGGGTCCAAAAACTGCTCTACATTAAGTATATTACATATAATCATATGAATGGAGAAAAGATGAGCAAAGCAGCACCCCCCATAGCCAATTACTCTTATTTCAAGATGCGTTTATCTTTTCCAACTGTCAGGGGTTACTACATCACCTACCAGGACCTACCAGGACTGACACAGGCACAACGTGGGGAGGGTCACGTGACGGCATCACGGCAGGGTCCACCAAAAGCAGAAAGGGTACACATGCGATCACTGCTCCTTGTGTTGACATTAGCTCAAGAACAGGTTCAAAACTGTAGGAACCTGGTCCCCAAATGTCCCAAAAGCTGCTTCAAAGCATCTTCAGCTACTTTTAATTACTTTTAAGATCAAGACAACCCTCTCTAGGAACCAATCATGGAAGTGGATGGCACGACTGGAAAGACCATGGAAATCTGAAGTGTCAAAATATACCAAACTACTACAATACCATGGAATCCTCCTTTTAGCATGTTTTCTTTGAGGATTTGCTTAGGGTATTTGAAGGAAAAGGTGGGACATGTAGACCTCAAACGCTCGGACGCCGCCCCGAACGGGGTGAACGGCACCTCCGTGGCCACCGTGCTGGGCAAGCTGCGGCGTGCCTCGGGGTGCCGGTGCCGAACGGAAGGAGGTTAGGTGTCCCTGTCGCATCCACTCAAAAAACCCACTCCTTTGTGACTCTTGGCATCAACTTCTTAGACCTTAGATAGCTCAAAGGTTTGGAAGATAGCTCGATTCCAATGACGTAGCTCGAATGGTCCGCTGGACTGGTTTGAGCCTTGAATCAGGGGTCGCGAAAGGGGGAGTGCCATTAGAGATCAGCCACCGTCAAACAAAGGAAGCTTTACATTTGGTTTGTCTAGTTTTCCAGTTGTTTGGAACGTCACCTTCGAAGCCGACCCGTTTGGATCGTTTGGGCGATCGACTTGAGCGACCGGGTCCCCAGTCAAGCTCACTACCGCCAAACCAGCCTAGATCTAGCGCCCTCAGAACATCAAGGACCGTGGGTGATCGAGGACGAGGACGTCTGGATCGAGCACCACTTGGTTTGGTACCACTTGGTGGGAACCCTGGAGAAACTGCTGGGATCTCTTCCAATTCAAAGCAGCGAGCATGCAGCATACATAAGCCCTTAGTGGTTCAGATGTCATAGTATGGTTAGGGTCATGACCCTCCTC